TCTGATACTCTCTTGAAAAGTTCTAGAGCTCTATGCAACAATTTTAAATAGTTCGGGTCATTAAATACAAAAAATAGACTTTCAAAAAAAGGTGCGCTTAGTTCACGCAGCGCACCTAATCAGTAAAATTAACTATTTCTTTAGAGTTCCGGTTTGTTTTACAATAGTTCTAGAGTTCTATATCATATATAACAATAGTTCTAAAGAAATAGTTGATTTTACTGATTAGGTGTGCTGCAAGAACTCTAGAACTTAGAAGAGGTAAGAATCAAGCGGAAAATATTAATTTTCTTGATAAAATATACTTGGTAAATGTACTTGGTAAAAAATTGAAAATGTAGGATCAAACGTAACTCGTTCGAACAAAGATATTTTTATATCTTGCGTATTTGCATATCGCGCGTTATATCATATTTTATTTCTTATAGGACAAGTTCATCTTGCACACTTTTGTGCCAAAAGCATCATTCTATCTTCTTTCGGCATGTAATGAGCGATAAAGAAAGAATAATACTTTTAGCACGAAAGTGTGCAAGAACTTAACTATTGAAACTTAAGTATTGCAAGAATCAAGCAGAAAAGCTTAATTTATCCGAAACATATAAAGTGACAACAAAAAAAAAGAACAGAACGAAATTTTGTTCAATCAGAGATATTTTTATATCTCTTATATTTTGCGTTACATCGTATTTTCATTTTTTATAATATTGCTTTTCTTATATATGGCATTTCTTATGCATTTCTTATAACATTTTATTCGCAATAACGCGATAATATAAAGTCAAATGCTGACGCAACTAGCAACTTGCCGCAACATATTTTATATAGAGACGGAATAAAAGACTGCAGTCATATTGTTATATCGTCTGTATTCATAGGATAGATATAAGCTTTAGTTACAATTCGCACAGGTCTGTTATTATAATCGGACATTTTGGCGACATATCTCTTGACTTTATCCCAGATAGTACAAAATGTTCAGAGAATGTTCTGAGACATTCTTAGGATGTATGAATATCCTTAAAATGTTTTTAGAATGTTCTTTGAAGATTTGTGCTGTATGGGATGTTTCTTTTCTTCGCTGTTCGTAGGAGGAGAGAGATACGCCGGAATATTTATAAGAAAATAACGCATTCTATTCTACGATCTGCTGTACGCTTAATCTGCTGTACGTTATCAATATGCTTGTAGCTGAGAGAAAAAATATCTAGAAATTGGCAAATAGTTATTTGGTGGGTATTATATATATATTAGCACATTTACTTAAATCTAAATTATCTTATTTAAGTAGAATAAATATATATAATTGCTTCCATGAAAAATTAAGGTTTTCTTAAGGTTTCAGGAAAATGTATATTTTCTTATTTGAAAAATATTTTATATATATTAGTACAAAGCAGCAGCTCTATGCTGATGATATACCCATTATATAAATATTTACTATTTATTAGGTATTTTTTCTCTCAGTGCAGTGTCGTCGTCTCGTATAGAATGAAATGAATTTTGCCTGCCTTAGTAAAAAAAGTTGATAGAGAACGATAGAATAAAATTCTATCGTTTTATCATTTTCTATCGTTTTAAATATGGATTTTGGTTCGTGAATTCACAAATGTGAATAGTATTCTATTATATACGATAGAATACTATTCACATTTGTGAATTCACGAACCAAAATCCATATTCAAAACGTTAGAAAACGGTAGAACGATAGAATTTTATTCTATCAACTTTTTTTTACCAGGGTGTTGAAGGAAAATATGCACAGCAGGAATAAGATCCAAAATATATTTCTTTCGAATCGATCAAGTCCGAGTTATCGTCTCCTATGTAACTAGTCATATCCATTAAGATGGAACTTGCAAACTACGTTGTAATACTAACGAAACATCGAATCAGTGGCACACACACACATACACATTTATATATATATAATCAATCCTTAAAGTTACGCTAAGGTGCTTAATCGTGTGTACATTCGTGTAAAATTAAACCCAATGTGGGTCTCAAGGTAGTAAGATACCAACGTCACAATATTTTATATCATCTATATATAAATATTTAATACTCTTCTCTAAAACGCGGCAGGCGCGACTGAAATATATATTTTCTTCCTTCTCGTTAATAATAATTTGCTTCTTCTCTTTAATAATAAATAAAGAGACATACGTGACGATGGTTCGCGTCAAGACAAAGAAATAGTCTTCGAGTCGCGTGAAGACAGGGAATTGAACGTTACATTGGAAGTTAACTCATTAAATCTTACGACAGTTATTGACGGCATTCGTTAGTGTTCCCGATAGAGAAGTCGAGTGACAAAATTCTCTTGTTATTTATAGTAAGCATCAACTTGGAATAGTAAGTAGAAGGTTAAAAGTAATATTGAACATAATCGAATATTCATGGAGAGAAAGAGAGAGAATAATCTACGAGACAAACAATCTAACATGTTTCTACTAACACGTATCTAAGTATTACATTAACAAGCACACGCAATCGCTTCTCGTACAGTTCGCTGGTGTTTTATGAAATTCGACAGTGGATATATCAATTTGCGCGTATATATCAATTTCACCAATTATCTAGCAGATCACTAACAATTTCCAAATTTCCGATTTAAAACAACCGACAATGTTTATTAGTTGGACAATTGGTTGGAATGTATACTATATATATAAATATATATATATATATATATGTATATATTTCCATATTTGTGTCGAGAATGCACACTTGGAAAGAAATACATCCTAATCCTAATCGCGTTTTAGTTTCAAAATAAAGTACATTATATATGGACAATATTTACATTAAACTCTTTCTTTAGAAATTTTGTTATGAATAGTAGCTGGAAAAATGTCTTATCGAATATTATTAGAATAATTATTGATACGCTAAACATAAGGGTACGGACTCGCGCTCGGTACATACATTCAAGTATATATTAGTGTGTGTGTGTGTGTGTGTGTGTGTGTGTGTGTGTGTATATATATATATATATATATATATATATATATATATATATATGTATATATTTCTTGCATATATTTTCTATTCAGCATGTCGAGATTAAAAATATTCGAAATGTCTAACGTACCGTGCGATAGACAGAACAAGTTGCTTCCCTTTTTAGTCTAATAAATCCGATCAATGCGATCGTATAAATACGCGAGATTACGTGTTTATTCGCTCATTCACGTGATACAACTCTTTGTCTCGTTACTTCCTTCCCCTTCGTCGTTATCGTTTCTCCTGACACACATCGTAAATAAACGGACACACATTCGTAGAAATGATATTTCTAATAAGTTTTAACAAAGTGTTGCATACATCCATATACAAATAATAAGGAGATAAAAGCCAATTTTCTTACTTTACAAGTATGACTAGTAGAGACGAGATCTCGTAATATTATCTTTTCGAATTTTACAATGTATACGTATAATTCATGATAATAAAAGAGCGGGCAGTGAGAAATAACCCTGAAACACGATATTAGAGTACACGAACGTCACAATAAAGCTACGTAATTACATAATTCGGGATCACGATAGTTCATGTAAATTCCATAGACGAGAGCGAAACTGCAATTACGTTTTTTTTTCTTTTTGTTGGGTAATAATCGCTCCACAGATTGCAGTCGAAAGACAATACAGAAAAAAGATCGTGCGTAACGTATTATTGTTAAAGTTTCGTTTAATGTATCTTAATGCGAATAGGTGTAGTAACAAAACTTCTCCCACATCTTTGAAAGCTTTACGCGTATTGAAAGTCAACAATTTCTCCCGACAAGTATTGTAGGTTTACATTTTCGTATAGTTTATGTAATTTCATTTTCTATAAATACAAAGATTAGCTCGATTTTTTTGCGTTTGTAATTCTTTAGGTTCGCGTGTGCCTCTCCTCGATCCGATTCCTTCTAGTTCGCGTTTGGAACCAACGCGAACTTTCGATTAAATTTTATCCTTTGTTCGCGCTGATAGGATCTTTCAATCGAACAAATCTAATTCTCGAACGACTGATCTCGGTCTTGTTACGAATGCGCCGATGTTTCAGGGTCGCATCTTGCTTCATCGTGGTTCTAGTCAGTCCGTCTCGTGTTCGCGGCAAAGTGGTGGAGAGTAGTCGCTTGCAAGGGAGTCAGTAATAGAAACCGCATGATATATCTACGTCTATGAAATATTCTTCTCGCGTGCTCGATGAAACAAACTCGATATCGACAATGGAAATTGACTTTTGGAAATCGTTCGTTATCTGAACGGACAGTTATCACAAGGGAGGAAGTGATCACCCATGGAAGTTTGCCCATGGTGCTTCATTTATTATTCATATCACGGATATCTTATCGACTCCTCTCTCTCTCTCTCTCTCTCTCTCTCTCTCTCTCTCTCTCTCTCTCTTTCTCTTAAGATATCTTTTCGACGAAGTCGTGTATTCGTGCGTTTTCATCAGAGCGACAAGAGTGTTCGCACAGATCGAACGAAAATGCGCCTGAATGCAATTCCTCCCTATGTTATATTCGTCAGACAAGATTCAAATATTTTTACACATATCGAAAGAAGTTCCACGTGGTCGCCTAGGACGTTAGAGATTCAGTTTTTCAAAGATTCGAAGTTTCCAAATTAGATAGAAATATTCTTACACACTGAAGAAAAGATACTTGAAAATACATTTCATTATTTGACATTTATTCACTTATATTTCAAGGAGACTTTATGTATTCCACCGTGATATCCCCCTTATATATCCCATTTGTGGGAAATATAAAGTTTATTTCTGGAAATATTCAGCTTCATATCCAACACAAAGAGATTTCCAAGTATTTTTTCTCAGTACACATATCGTGCTCATTGCTCCGTTAAGATGCCATTCCTCGTGCAGAAGACCCGTAACTCGACATGTAAATGAAACGAATGACAGAGAGTGAGACTTCCTCGAGTACGCGTGTTCTCACGTCGACTTGCTCGAGCATCACGTCGATGCTCGATGAGTACTGATTTATTCGGGGTCACATCCCGAGTAGCCGCGAATCATAATCAGTATCCATGGCGCGCATCTTTAGTCTACGGCACGCGACGAGACCCTACCGACTCCTCGAGCTAATTAACCACCTGTCGCGCGTCGCACCTGGACGATTCTCGAATACGAAATTCCGACGACGATCTCGCTAATCGGTCGCGTGCTCATCGGATATAGAAGGAAGTCTCTCGCTCTTTACGACAGGATGCAGGAGTTCCTCTTGGACTCGGAGCGTTCGCGAATCTGCTCCAGGTGTTGCAGCTGAGCTGCGGACGGCACGTGGGTGCCGCTGCTGCTGCGCGAGTTTATGTGTGGCGGGGGCGGCAGGGATTGCCGGCGGCGACGTTGCAGCGCTGGGCTCAGATTGTACTTGAGCTTCGCCTGGATGAGCAGCTCCTTGAACACTTGGCTGATGTTGAGGTTCTCCTTTGCAGACACCTCCACGAAACCGTTCTCCCACTTGATGATCACTAGGTCTCTCGTGCTCTCCGACTCCACCTGCAATTCGTTCTCGTTGTAATGTTAAACGGGATTACACGCGACGTGGAGAGTCTGATTGGATCGGCTTCATTTGCATCTTCGTGTGCAGCTCGAACAACCTCGTTTTGTTGCGCATACTGAAAATTTTCATTTACAATTCGACTGTCCGTATTTTTTCGGCACGTGTGCATTTAAATACCACGTGAAATTTCTTCGTCATCGTTGTATCCAGATATATAAATTTGCATGTGTACTGCAGTTCGTCAGCATTTGTTTATACGAATCTTTCTGTCTCTTTGTCATGGTTTACACACAGCTAAAGGTAAACATTCAATTTATCCTTTCCCCCTGACTTAGTTTTAACAATGTCTATGGATATCAGGTTTTTTCTAGATCTCTGAAACCTGACGTAATGAATTTCACTTTTTCCCATGACGTGTAAGAAAATTTGTAATTTATGTAGTGAGATGAATATTTGAAAGTTAAAAGAACATGCTTCGGGAAAAGAAAATGATTTGAGGAATTTCAAAGATTACGGAGGAAATTGAACTCGACGGTCGCTTGATCGCCGTCCGGACTTACCTCCTGTTTTGCCTCCACAAGGTCGATCTTGTTACCGACGACCACGATTGGTACGGCGCCCTTCATGTTGAGTATCTGGCCTCTAAGGGTCTTCACCTCGAGAAACGTATTAGAGTCGTTGACGTCGTAAACCAGAACGAAGGCGTCAGCCGATTTGATCGACAGTTCTCTCATCGCAGGGAACTCGTACGAGCCAGACGTGTCCAGGATGTCGAGAGTCAGGTGGATCCCGGAAAGATTGAAGTCACCGTGATGCATCTCCTCGACGGTGCGCTTATACTTGGGGGTGAAGGTGTTGTAAAGGAACTGATTTATTATCGCGGACTTGCCGACCTTCGCCGCGCCCATCATGACAATCTTGTGCCGAATCGAGCTCTCGACCGACTTTCCGCTACTACTGTCCGACTCCGACAGTCTGTCGGAGTTATTCCTGCGAAATAATACATCGTTCTTACGCACCGACGATTTATCTGACGCGCCATCGTCGGTCAATTTTAAACGATTTTACACAAGACACAGCTAAATTGCGCGGTAAAATTGATGTGTTACGAAATATTATATCTATTTAAGAATTTAATTATCTAAGAATTTAATTTTGAGATATTTAATTGCCGCACACAAACTTGACAAGATACACAAGATTTTGCCGCGCGCGCGCGAAAGAGCTGATATATCTAGTTTCCATTTTCGTGTGAAACCAAGAGAAACTAGGAGCGAAGGATTATATAAGGATGTAGCGAAATGATAAAAAAACATTGAGACACGCTTAGTACGCAGCTCGGCGAAGTAGTAGTATACGACAACGTTGTTCAGTCGGGTATTTTGTCAACATTCCTCGCCATCGTGTCTCTCTGCCTCTTTAAACAGATATAAATCGCCTCGGGTATTATGAAGCACGACAGGGATTGTTATTAACGGAAACGGTAGGATACGATCTCTCGTCATGACGGAAGCAAAGATACCACATTCCGTTTAAGAGACAATCATCCGAGGAAGAGAATGCTGCTAATGAACGCAAAGGATCTCCCGTGGTACAGGCGCGTATTATTGAATGCTGGTTTTGTATAAGGTGTCCTGAATTCGTGACACTATCAGTCCCTCGAGAGAGGGAACGGTGAGCCTCTTGTGAGCAGTTCTCACGAGGCAAGGCAAGGCCGTGCATTCGCTTTTACACGCACCAGATAGCAGCTGTCTCTCTAAGTATCTACGTCTTCCTCGTAATCATCTGCGCTTATTACAAGAAGTCAGACGCGGTTATTACCGTGTACACAAAAGCGGAAAAGCGAGCATCCCCATTTCGCGTGGATTCGCTGCGAAATTAAAGCTCGGGCTAAAATCCGAGAGCCAGTCACGAGAAATAGCGAACGTGAAGGAGAAGAGGAGCCGCGAGAGTCGCGATATGTCGCATGGACTCGAGCGGGTTTCGCGCTGAAAGCAATTTTTCCGAAGCGCGATTTATTACTCCGAACACGAGGCGAACGCCGCACGTCTCGCGCGTATGCGGGCTTTAAGTTTGCGTCAGCTAGCGGGAAATATAATATCGAAGATCGAATGCTCTCCGCACGCGTGTGTATCTGTATATCGCCTCAAAGTACGCTTCCCCTGCCGAATAGATGGGAGTGCACTCGGAGGCACAGCAATATCGATTTTCTCACATGTCATAAAATTATCTGTCTTAGAGGCGAGAGACCCGATGGTGGAAACTAATTGCGATTCTACCGCGTCGCTCTGATTTCTGAGACCGATCGATCGATTAATTCGAAGGGGAAGATAACAAATATCTTCTACTTTTGTACATATCTTTTTGCGTACGTGCAACACAATTGCATGCTTTGCGATAATAACTTATGCGTTACCTGACATTCTTCGTCGTTCCATCTTCTTGCCCCTCTTTCAAGGGCGATGAGGGCTGCAGACTGAAACGACGGCGAAATTGATGACGCCCCTTCATCATTTGTGCCGCGGGATTCCTGGCGACAAGAATTCACGCGCGTGAAAAATGATCTTGTTCCCGCCGCGAAAAGCTTGCGTT